AGAGAAGCCATGTGTTGACCATCCTCCTACTTCTAAAGGGCTGTCATATGGGAAAGAGAGATAAGGGTTTTTTAATGTGTCATAAAAATATAGTATTCTTGTGTAAAAGTAGTGGAGAGACAGATCAAAGAGATATACATTTTGGCACTATTGAAAAAAAACTTTAATACTCAAATCTCAAAAATGGGAATGTTTCCAAGTAAATAGATAGGTGGCCACTAGACATGGGTTAAAGAGTAGATTCTAATATCATATGAAGAGCCAAATTGATTTTAGAGAAGGCTGAAACTTTAAGGATCCTTACAACCAAAATTTTGTAATTCTGTGAAAATCTAAATTATTTCCAATATAGACATTCACTCTGTTAATAGAAGTTTTATTACAGTGGGAATGAAGCAGACTTTTCTACTCTTTATAAGGACTAGAAAAGTTTTAGAGCTAGTTAATAATTAGAAACCTTACATCATATTTTGAGTTAGCTATGCCTCATTCTGTCTTATTCCAGACATATGGAACAGATAGCTTAGACACAGGTTGTTTATGACAGTGCAGTATAAAGATAATAAGTCACTAACTTACTTCCTTTTCCACTCTGAAGCCAGGTCCTCTCATGTAAATGGTAGTATTAAGGGACATGCTTGTAAGTGCTTTCAGCTGTTCTCAGCCTGTAATTCTACATATTAAGCATATAGAACTTACTTTGTTTTTGGTAATAAGCATATAGAACTTAGAACTTAATGACTTTAAGCTTATTTTAAAATGTAAAAGTAAGTTAATTATTCTTAAATTCACATCGTTCTTTTAAAAAGATGCAACAGGGACTAAGCCAATGGCAACATATGTATATAACGGAACACTGGGAAGGGGGTCAGATGCAGACAGATCCTAGGTGTTTACTGGCTAGCCATTCTAACCAAATGACAGGTTGTAGGTTCAGTGAGAGACTCTGTCTCAAAAAACAAGGTGAACACCATTATCTGCTTTACATATGCATGTGTACACACACACACACTACTATTATTGAAAAATTTTGACTTTATTGTTTAAAATTTCCAAATCTTAGTAGAAGGAAAGGAATTGAAGAGAAACTGCATTCTGCTGTATCAGTAACATGACATTCTGTAGTAGTTATCTAACATTCTTTACTTCTTTACTGCATTTAATCCTATCAGTTTTCTTGAATGTAGTTTTTAGTATAAGTTTCAACACTAAGTAAGCAATGGTCTGACATTATTATAAGTGTAAAAACAATCTTTGAAATAACACTTTTTGTTACAAAGAGAAGTTTACTTGATGAGTGGTGATGACTACACTTATCTGTGAGTGCAAGGAAAACATTTAGAATGTAGTTAGGGATTATTATAGTTTAGTAAAGTGGTAATTGTAGGTTCTTCTCCAAGATCCCAAGACTTCACTAGTACTGGGCAGTTGGCTAGGTAGCCAAAAATAAAAGAAATGACTAAAACATACTTCTTAAACAATACTTACTAGGTAACACAGGTTGCCCAAGTTTTAGTAAAAATCTTATTCTTAGCTTGCTGACACTAATACCTGTTTTTTTTCTGTTAATCAGCATAAACAGCATTATTAGCAAAGGTTTTTTTAAAATATTTATTTATTTATTATGTATACAATATTCTGTGTGTATGCCTGCAGGCCAGAAGAGGACACCAGAGCTCATTACAGATGGTTGTGAGCCACCATGTGGTTGCTGGGAATTGAACTCAGGACCTTTGGAAGAGCAGGCAAGGCTCTTAACCTCTGAGCCATCTCTCCAGCCC